AAAATTTAAAATTTTAAAATTTTTAAAAAATATAAAAATAATTTTTTAATTAAAATAAAAACTTATTTAAATGGTTATTTTCAAAAAATTAACCAAAATCGATAAATCATTTTCTCTGATTTGGTTAATAGTTTTTAAAATTAAATAACCAGAATTTTAGTTAATCAATGGTTACGGTCAAACTAAACTGTGCTCACCTCTTATTCATAATATTGTTTTTTTACATCTTATCGATAATATTCAACTTTTAATTAAATTAATCCGAAAACACTTTAATCATTCAAATTAAAAAAACCATTCGATTTTTCAAAGATTCTATGCTAGATTCTCTGCTACTAACGTGGATTCAGATTTGAGAAACCATGAAAAACATTTTCATCATTTTTTTTAAATGGAAAGTTAATTATAACATATTCACTTTGGATGGAAAAAATAATTTTCTAATTGTTTTTTTTTTTTTGTTAATAAAACAATTTTCTAATGATACATGAATGATGGAGGATGGATTGTCTGGTTTTTTTTTTTTTTTGAAAATGATTGTCTGGTTATGCATTAGGGACAGTCATACTGCTACAGACACCTGAATTTTCATTAGGAGATGGAAGGAATTTGAGACCCCACTATCAATGTCCCGTCCAAGGTGAAAAATAAAAGGAATTTATTCTCTGACAGGAAGTTCGTGCACAGCAGATTGTTGTCTACCTCACAACTGTAGCCTTTTTTTTTTTTACACGAAATTGTATATGTAGTTAATATTGTTTGCTAGTTTTTTAATATCTTAAAATATAAAATATATTTAATATTTATTTTAATTAATAATTTATATTTTTAAGATGATAAAAAATTAAAAATTAAAAACTAAAATATTACCTAATATTTCCAAAAGAAGTCACAATCAGACGTGTCTCATTAAAAAATTATATTTACTATCTAGTAGCAAGTTCGCGGGTCACAGCCCACAAATCTTTTTCTTTACCTTTCGGGCTAGTATTTGGTTTGGGGCATTTTCACATTTTGGGTGAAAATGACTTCCGCCCGAAATGAATTTCTTAGCCAAAAGAAGTGCCTATCCAAGGAAAATCATTTGCCTAGAATATATGGCCAGGAGCGATTTTCGTAACTTCCAAGCATGAATTTAAAACTCAACTTGATTTGGTTGGTAGAGCCAGATTCAGTTATAAAAACATATCAGATATATGTTTTTGAAGATTGATATTGTTTGACAATATTTTTTTTGGTACTTCATCATTTAGTTTTTATTTTTTTTATTATTTAAAAATATAAAAATTAATAATTAAAATAAATATTAAATATATAATGAAAAAATATATATATCATCTCTACATTAAAAAAATTAAAATTTTAATATTAATTTATGTTATTTTATTTAATTAAAACTCAATTTAAATTTTAAAAATTTATTTTATTAAATATTAATATTTAAATTTAAAAACTAATTGAATTTTTAACTATAAATTGAGATTTTAATTTTTTTTAAAGTTGAAATTAATACATACTAATTTTATATATATAATATATTTTATATATTTTTAAGAGATTGAAAAACTGAAAAAATTTAATTGCATATTAGTTTGGTTAACTAAATCTTAATTCGTTCAGAAGAAAACTTGATAAATCTCGTCAAAACTCCGTAAATTCGATCAAACGGAGCTACTTAATAAAACCGTTGACCTTACCTTATTAATTTCAAAATCTTTTTTTTTTAATTTTTTTCCCTTTTTTTGCATTTTATCTTTTTTGAATTATTATATATATATTTAATTAAATTCAATTTTTTAAATTACTTCTTTTTTTTATAGAAAATAGAAATTTATATTAAAATAAAAAGAGATTACAAATGAATCTCTATTGCATGCATATAGCCTAATTAAAATAGAAGCATAACTTACAGTATTAGTAATAAATTTAAACTATGCCCATGACAAATATAAACAATTAAGCAAAGAAAGCCTTCTATAACTAAAGATTGCATCTACAATCATTGTATGGGCATATATAAGGCTACTAAAGTAGAAAGGAAAGTTGCTATGAGTATCAGAAACTATTGGACATCCTCACTTATTTAGCCAGCTTCATAGGGAGAGCAGGGAATCTCAACATCAACAGTCCCCAACCCGTTAGATGTCGTCCCTTTCTAATACATGCTTCAACCAACAGAAGGGTAATGGCCTTTTAGCCAATTGGGCTAACGCCACCCCTGTATTGTCTACAAGCACTTTAAGGGTTCTCTCTTCCTCCATAGGCGTTAGAAAACTCCTCCACTTGTTTTGAGTGTGTTCCTCTGTGTGCAACATGGATCCCCCTACACGGTCTATCCTTTTCCAACTACTCTTATTTGCTTTTGTATTTTTCCCTTTCCCTCTATGATTACTCATGTCCCCAAACTGTTGGGACAAAGGAACGTCCACCAATTGTACCTTAGCAATTAGAGGCAAAACAACACGAGACTGGTTTGTCTCTACTTCATTTATGCTATTCTCATTGTTACCGCCCTCAACTTGTCTTCCACAAATGGGCATATTATTTAGTGATTGGATTTCTTCATTCTCAGAAGGCTTTGTAACATCTATGCCCTTTTCTCCCACCAAAATTTGGGTATTTGCAGAGAAGGCTTCATCCAAAACATCAAAATCGTCTGTGCACCATGAGTTCTCTAATTCAGCTTTTAACCAAGGACCAAAGCATTTGATAATCTTACCACCTGCATCTTTAATGCAATGAGCAATTTCACAATCATTCTCGACATGTCCCAAACAACCACAAACAAAACAAAACTCTAGGAGTCTTTCATATTTAATCATGAGTTTCCTACTCTCTGTAGCAGTAATTTGAGAAGTCTTGAATCGTCTTAGTGGGTTATCGACATCTAAGTCTATTCTAACTCTAATAGCTTTCTTGAATCCTTCATCCACCTCCAGGACTCTTCTTAAAGAACTTCCAATCATGAAACCAAACCCTAGCCTGAGGAGTTTGGAGCACGGGAGAAAAAATTTTAGAATATAAATTACTTCTAAAATAATTTATAAGTCTTTTTAAGTTGATTATATTTTAAAAATAGAATAATATCAATATATAGTAGTAAGCAATAAAAAAAAATATTGAAAAAGTCAAGTTTTTAATTACCTAGCCAAACTAATCAATTAAATCAATTGAACAGATTACGTAGAATTCAATACTAAAAATGGGTTGGACACCGGGTTTTAAAGCATTACTTCTAAGGGCTAAAACCAATTTTTAGCCCCTCACCTTACAAAATTGATAAATTTTAGCTTTTAACTTATAATATAACACTTTTAACTCTTTATCTTACAAAGTTGGTAGATTTTAACCCCTCACCTTACAAAGTTAATAGGTTTTAAGCCCTTACTTTATATTATGACACTTTTAGCCCCTTATATATACGAATTGAAGAAAATAACTCTTATTTAAAATCAGGTTATAATGTTTTATTAGTTCTGTTAACTAATTGTCAGTTTTGTTAGTTGACTGTTAGCGTCGGTTAGTATTTTGTTAATGAAATTAACAAATAAAATTGAATTTAAATTTCATTTTTTTTATAACAGAATACTAATAAATGTTAACAGTCAACTAACATAACTAATAGAACGTTGTAACCTGATGTTAGCTGAAGGTTATTTTCTTTAATTCGTATCAGTGAGGGACTAAAAATATCATAATATAAAATAAGAAGTTAAAACCTACTAATTTTGTAAGATGAGGGGCTAAAACTTATCAACTTGGTAAGATAAAAAGCTAAAACTATCTTGTTATAAGATGATGGGTTAAAATCTATTAATTTTATAAAGTGAGGGGCTAGATGTTGGTTTTTGCCTATTTCTAAGGGGAAGCGCATTCCGTAAAACTGGTGGTTGTCATTTTCGTAACTTCCAAGGGTGTCCGTCTTCCTAAAAGTGTTAAAAAGGGTGGCTGCCCAACACCCACATTGATGGATAATTATTAGTTATATAATATAGAATGAGTAATGTCATATTTACATATAATTTATAGAGTTTAGTTTATATTAATTTTTATTTTTTTAAAAATTTAAATTTAAATTTAAAATTTAAAATTTAAAATTTTATTTTATTAAATATTGATATTTAAATTTAAAAACTAACTATATATTTTACTATAATTAGTTTTTAAATTTAAATATTAACATTTAATAAGATAAAATTTTAATTTTGAATTAAATTTTAATTAAATAAAATGATGTAATTTAATATTACAATTCTAATTTATTTGGAGATCAAGTTATGACTAAAATATATTTTTTCCTAATTTATATATGTTTTATTTAATAAAATCTTGATATTTTTATTTTATTTTTTATATTATGAATAATTGAAATTCATCATAACTTTTGGATAAAAAATAATTTAAAAAAAATAGGATAAAAAGTTAAAAAATCTCAATCATTCGTAGCGGAGAAATAAATAATCAAGATTTTGAATAAATGATATATATAAAAATTATGTGTAAGTGAATTTTAATCCCAATGGAATAGAGAAAAGATTTATCAATCAAATCTCTAAAAATTTACTCCCTATAGCCCAAAATAATTATTTTTTAATTTTAAATTTATCTTAAATTAATTATCATTTTTTCATTTTTAAGGTAGACAAATAATTTTTTTTTTACTTTAACCCTTTATTATTAATTTATTTTAATTAATTATCCTATCACAAAAAAATCCTTTTTATCTTTTGGTTTTTTTCTAAGGTTAATATAGGTAAATTCATAAATTGTTCTAAATCCTTAATTTGAATAAAAACTAAAAAAATGATAGTTATTTTAGAATAGAAGGAGCAGGTGAAAAAAATACTTTAAAACCACATTATTTTAATAAATTATTATTAAAAAAAAGCTAAAATAACATATTTTTAAAATAAAAATGAAAATATTTTAATCTTCTTTTAAGGTACTTTATTGAAATAATATAATTTTAAAATATTTAACCTTTAATTTTTTAGAAATATAGCTAATAAACACTAATATTAATAAGAAAATTATTAGTATATTCTTCAATTTGATATACCTTTAGATACTCATCCAATTTAATCATTAAAATATAATAAAATAAATTAAATCAGTCAGAATTGCATTTTGTATGTGTGAGTATCACTACATCTTTTAGTTTATATGTCTTTAATTTTAAATAAAAATAATAAATAGTTTAATGAATGTGTTGTGTAATATATTAAATTAAAAAATATATCAATCAATATTCAAATTAATGCTATATAACACCCTCTTTTTCTAAATTCCACTCACCTATGCTAGTAATAAAGTTCAAATGTAAAATCTGTAATAAAAATAGTATTATATTTTTTTATTTAAATGACATCAAATTATAAAACTTGATCCACCATTAAAAAACGAGATCTTTTCTCAATATTAGGAGCACATCCTAATTTCCATCCTAATTTAATAGCTGCACCAGACAAATTTACAGAAGAATCTGGTATTCACAGTGCCTTGACCCGTTATTCCATTAACTCAAATTATTCTTGACATGCTGCAGCCCCCTTCTTTTGAAAATCCATAGTATCTAATTTTACAAGGAGTGAGGAGCATTGAAAGAAGGTACCTAATTGTCGGAAAAAGAAAGGGCAAGGGGAGGGCGGTGGGTGGTGGGGAAATACAGTATAGCTAATTGATTGCGACGCGCGGCTTCATTAGCATACGTGGTCTAATCCCATTGGTTCGGTTATTCTTCCGCAAATTTGCAAGTGTAATTATATGTTGATAATTTTTGTTGATAAAATATGTAAATAGTTCTTTTTTACAATTTTTCAATACAATTTTTTACGTACATTTTTTTTAATGGTTTACATATCATTCATAAGCAAGAATGTTATTTTATCAAAAAAAGAATGCTATAGGTATAATATTATGAAATATTTTAAATTTATAATTTTGACATGATATTAAATAAATATTATATATTATTAAAAGAAAGAATATATATAATATTACAGATAAATTTTAAAATGAAAAGAGCTATTTATATAATGACACATCATATTGTAAGTTTACAATATCACGTGATATTGTAATTATATCATTTTTACATTAGGAAGTAGATCAATATATATAATATTACAAGTCCTAATAAAATTAAAAGAGTATAGTAAAATTAAAAGAGTCAATAATTAAATGACATTAAAATCTATATAAAAATAGCAATACTATAGTTACAATGCTATTTAGAATTTACGATTTCATTGGTATTAAATGAATAAATGCATGTAATATCATAAATAAACTCTTGAATAAAAAAGTGAATTATATAATAACGTAGAATACTAATTAATATATCTTTTAATTCAACATATTACATAATATATTCATTAAAAAATTGTGTTTTTAATATGAAATTAAAGATAGATAAATCTAAATACACAATCATGCATATAACATACATAAATCAACTAAATTAATTGTACTTATATTATATTTTAGTAATTAAACCATATAAGTGTTGAAAGTTATGTTGAAATAAAGGATATATTAATTATTTTTTAATGATATATTATATTATAAATTTATTATAATACATAATATTATTATTATAAATTTTTTGATATAAAATAATTTATCTGTCAATCATTTTCTTACCAATTTATCAGCCTACTTATACGGCGTGAAGTTTGTATGGTGTCGTATCCGCTGCTCTCTCCTCTATTATCTGCCTGTACTTCTGTTTATTCTGTTCATGGATGATGCACTTTTTTATTTTATTTTATTTTTTATTTTTATATGATTCTATTTTTCAGATTGCTTTTATGAAACGGAAATTAGTTGGAGAAAAGCACCTCATTGCACAACCCAAAATGGAGACGTATCATGATAATTTTTGTACAGTAATAAAGGCTCAGGATGATGGCCTTTGACTTTGAGTTTGGAGAAGAAGAATACAATAATTCAAGAAAAATAAATTAAAAATAGAAATTAAAAAAGTGTTATATGTAAACTGGAAAACATGAGAATTGAAAAAAAACAAAGAGAAATAATGCCCGCTCTCCTAGGTTTAGAGCAACGCGATATTCACGTGAGGGTCGCTTCTCTTCCGACCACAATTGCTAAGTTTCTCTAGCTTTTCTTTACTTTTTTGAGTTTTTCTTCAATTATTCCCTTTTTAGCCACGTTTAGTCGTCAATTCGTATATTTTATTTTAACACTTATTCATTTACACTTTAATTTGAAATATTATATAATATATTTATTAAAAATTATTATTTTTAATTTAAAATTAAAAATATAATCATACATATAAAAAAAATAAAAATTAATTAAATTAATTATATTTATATTATATTTTTAATATAATTTAATTAGACACATGTCAAAAAATTTGTTTAACCAAGTATGTATCAATAATTTTCTATTTTATGTATTTATTTCATTGTTTATCTTCATCTTTCAACCTAAAATCCCAAAAAAAATTCAAAATTAAGAACCAATTTCCCTTTCGATTTAATTATGTTTCTACGGATACTACATTACTGTGGTTCCTGGGTTAAGATTTTGCTGAGCAGAGGACAGAGATTGTTCATAGAGATGAGAAGCCAGTCAGAAATCATCACGATGATATGAGAGATCATTTAACCTATACAGTAACTAAAAAATGGATTGACGTGAATCTATGGGGCTCTGCAGCAATTGTCAAGGGCTAGGAGCAACCCTCTGATTTTCATGATGAATGGCTCACGGAAAATCATAGCCCCAAATTGGTCTATCAGGAAGATTCTACGTTATTTTCTACGCCTAAAATAAATTTCTAAGTTCCTGATGCATCTAAATTCGAAGTATGAATTTAGCATGCATAATTTTGACGATTCTTGTAGCTCTTTAGGGGTAATTATATGTTTAAGTGTTATTGAAATTCATGATAAGTCATATCTAGAAAAGGTAATGTCTAAATTAAATGGTGGATTGAGTTGTAGTTTTGGTTTGATGATTGAATTTTGATATCTAGACGAAATTTGC